AAAGTACTATCCAATGAACACCTATTTGAATCAAGTAACAAAATATAAATTTAAAAACGTACTATCCAAGAATTGAACACCTAACCAATTGCCTAGAATAGCCTTACTTGATACAACCACTAAGCAACCCAAGATACTATAATAACTACTCAAGATTAATATAATTTATTCAATGTTTAGTTCTAAGTTTATATTAAAATTTCTTCAAACAATTATAAGTGAGACGCTTTAAATTTGAGACCATGTGCTAAGATTTGATTGCCCTTGCACAAAGTCTGTGAATTAGATAATAAAGAAGATTGATAACATGAATAGTAACCCGCGGACTTGAAAAAAAGTAAATAAAAACTATTCTCATGTATTTTTAAAATATTTGTTATTTTAAATATTTTAAAATTATAATTTATTAAGATTATAATATTTATAAATATAAAAATCTTAAAGTATGTTCTTTTGCTTTTTATTTTTGTGTTTTGTTCATGATATTTTTTAAAAAATTGAGTTTAAAATTATACAATCTAAAATAAAAATGTTATTATCAATATTGTGCATATATATTGATCTTACCTGATCAAAAAGGAGTCAGTAGTCTGTCACGCGTCGTGAGTTGCTGCCTTCACTGGTATTGTGGAGGAGAAAAAGAGGGTGTATATGTAAGATGCTTTGATGCTTAAGTGAGTACCGGAACTAGAGATAGTAAGTACATAGAAAAGGTGTGGTGAATGGAAATACCTGACTCTCTAGTGAAAGAGAGTATTTATAATGTGCCCCTAGTGCAGGGCCAACGGTTACATTGCATTGGGTCATATTACCAAGCCCAACGCAAGTAACTGCCAAGGCTTACGTGGCGTAGTGAAGACCAGCACGTGGTTTTCGCCCTGGATCAACTGCCCCGTGATCTTCAGAAGTGGGCTGACCATCTCTTTCGAAAGTGGGTAGTTGTCTGATGACGTGTCCCCGCGTGAGGGATACATGGAGAATCATGGAGAAAGCGCGTGAGCTCTCCTTGTGTCAGATAACGCTCTGCCAAACTAGTGTGCCTTATTGAGGCATGTGCTCGACAGAGAGGATTGAGCCTTGTTAGGCCTCATCAGCATAATATTGGGTTGAGTCTCATCAGCATAGTATTGGGTTGGGCCTGCCCGTCTAAGGGGCAGGTCCCGGCCTAATACAAAACATATATAATTTCCTCTTTAATGAAAATATATATTTTATCATAGATATTTTTAATTGTCAATTAATAAGTCTGGATATAATATTTATTAATCAAATTCTTTATTGATGTGATTTTACATATAGTATATTTGATAAGAAATTGAGAAAATAAATTAGAGTTATTAGTGAAGTGAGAGGGAATATTTTTGTAGGTCTAACTCTTTCATTTTTTTAGAGCTTGTAATATATTATTAAACTTGTTAATATTATATAATTTATTGGACAAAAGAATTGAGGTCATATTCAATACATTCTACATCAAACTTGAAGAAATTGTTCTTCTTTTTTTGGTAGAAAGTATTGACATATATAATTGCAATAAAATAAAATAAAATTGAAATTTATAACAGATTAATTAAATAGTCAAATAAAATAAATAGAAGAAATATGAAGAGAGTAACTTCAATAATGTTTTTAGTAATGTTTTTGTTCATCAAATATCTTAATAAATTTTATATCTTTATAGATATGAAATATTGTGAGACTTCGTACTAGGGTCTTGCACATTAATTTAGACAATTTACAATAGAGTTTTCAAAGTGTATTAAAAATAGACATATTGTATACACGATTAAATTTCAATGTGTTCGTTTTTTTTAAGATTGGGGAGGTGGAGAACACCAACTCCTTTGGTTCTCATAAACAATGATTTCAATAAATACAAATAGTGAGTAGGTTTACTATTGAATTGTCAATATTGAGGGGTAAATCCTTACATGATGTGAATTAAATAAAAAATATTAGTAAACACAATAGTCATAAAACTATTAATCTAATACTAATAATAATAATAAATATTTAATTAATAAAAATAGAGAAATAGACATCTTATATCTAAAGTTTGATGGGTAGAACAAAGTTCTTACAAAAAATAATAATTAACTACAGACAAATAATAAGAAGGTTTAGACATATTCTCCAATCCTCGCATGTGAAAAATCAAGTGTAAGAAGTGAAAGAAAATTAGAGATAATTTTTTTTTATTTATATTGATAAACTATTGAGAGATTTAGGGAATTTAGATAATTTTTTATGAGTTATTGAAATTAATGGATTTTTCAGGTATAACCGATCAACTAAAGAGACATTAATAAATTAGTAACACATTTAATATCAATGATAGAATGAAAACACAATAGAATATATTTATAAATGAAAGATAATATAGATATAAATTTATTATTTGAAATTAGTTGATAAATATTATAGTTAAGTTTTATAATTATTGTTCTGGCCTGGGCCCCGGCTTCGCCTCACGACCCAGCCCAAAGATACACAATAAAGGCCCAATGTGGTCTAAGTAGGCTAATCGGGCACGTAGCCCCTCGACGGGCAGTGCATGCTCCCGCCGAACAGAACAGCGTGCCTCAGGACGCCCTCTACGCTCTCCCCTTCGCGGGGAGGCGCTGCCAACCACGGTCCCTCGTCGAGCAGGACAACGTGTCTCTCCCACGTCCTCGTGTGCTCCCCTCCGCGGGGAGAACAACACACCTCCGGGGAGCCTCGCGAGCTCCCTTCCGTGGGGAGATCAACGTGTCATTCGCACGTTCTCCACGTGCTCTCCTCCGCGAGAACACGTCACCGACCAACTGCCCACCTCCGAAAGAGCAGGTCAAACCCACTTTCCAGAGATCACGGGACAGTTGGATTAGGGCGAAGACCACGTCCTGGTCTTCACTACGCCACGTAAGCCCTAGCAGTCACCTGGGTTGGGTCTGGCGATCCAGCCCAACGCAAGTGACCGTTGGCCCAGCGCTGGGGTCTCTCTATAAATACCTTCTTCCTCAAGAGGGTCAGGTAATTCACTTCTTACCCTTTTTTCTGTGCTTGTGATCACTCTGCCCACATACTCACTTTGGCATCGGAGTGCCTTGCAGGTACACCCCCCTCCTCCTCATCATCACCGGTGAACAGACAGCAGTCCAATAGAGTGTGGTCAGCTAGTGATCCCTTCTGATCAGGTCAGATCAATTATAATATAACATGTAACGAATTTTTAAATTTATATTTAATGTTACAATATATTTTCATAAAAAAATTGATAAATAGTATTATTTTTATTATTATTTTATTTAAATAATAATAATTATTATTATTACTATTATTATTGTTATTTTATTATATTAATTTATATTTTAAATTGGAATATAAATATGAATAATATTATTATATTATTATTTTTCATAACTTATAACTCAAGCTATCATACATAAAACTAATAATAATGATTGAGGTTTTATTACTATTTATTTATTTAATTATTATTTACTATGATACATAAAAAAATTCATCTGATAAAATGATTTTAAAAATAAAATTGTTAATTTGAATTCTAAAAATTATTTTATTAACTTACATAATGAAAAATATTTTTATTATGTTTAATAATTAAATTTAAAATTATATAAAATAAAATATATGATATAGTCACTAAATAAAATCGAGATAAAATCTTCTTATAATTTTTATACACTAAGTGAATTTTTTTTTTAATAAAATTAGTTATTAAAATAATTTTTATATTTATGATTTATGATTTTTATTTTTTATTTTTTATTTTATTGAAACAATGACTTGTATTAATTATTTTTTAAAACTAAGTAATTAAAATTTTATATAAAAATATGAATAATGTAGTAAATAATTTTATTCTTACTTTATTTCTTTTTTTTAAAATTGTTTTCTCTGTAGTAATTATTAATGAATTTATCTTTTATTTTTTATATAATCATCATTGTAGTGTATTATTTATAATTTTAGTGATTATTAAAACAAAATTTATTTTTATTTTTAATTTTTTATATTAATGTTAAAAGAATGAAGAGTTTTATAAAGAAAATATAATTATATCAATTTTATTTTATTAAATACCCTTTATAATTTGAATAGAAATGTAAATATTTTTATGTGCTTTATTTTATTAATTTATAATTGAAATTGGAATAGGAATATGAACAATATTATATCATTATTATTAATATATATTAATAGAATAAAAATTTTCATAAAGAAAATATAGTTATATCAATTGGTGATTGATGATGTGTCAATGAATTTAAAAAGTAAATGAAAATTTTTTTTTAGATTGTTTTATTGTTAATGAACAAATTGTCCAAATATACAAATAAGTTAATGTGGTGCATTTTAGAATTATAATTGATAATGTGTCGCTATAATATTTGGTGCATTAGATTTAATATATATATATATATATATATATATATATATATATATATATATATATATATATATATATATATATATATATATATATATATATATATATATATATATATATATATATATATATATATATATATATATATATATATATATTATTACTAATTTAAAAAATAGTGAATCGTAAGTCATGTCTCATTTTGAATGTCACACCAGCAGTATTAAGCGCGTTAAATCACATAAGTTTGTTTTACAGCAATTTAGAGAGATGTGGACTAATTTGATGATTTCATATTTTGAAAATTGAAAACATGTAATAGATCTAGTCCATGAAAGATACTATAGAAAAGTGTATATAATAGAGCTGGTTTCGACCGCAATGCGAGATAATCATAATATCACTTTCTGTGTTAATATCTACCTTCAAAATTTCTGATATTTACAATGACTCTTATTGTTTCGCTATTACTCCCCGATCCAATGATTCCTTTCAAAAGTAAACTATACATCCTATTATAGATTGTAAACTCCGTGGCACTCCAAATTCATATTACAGGGACCAGAGTTTGTCAGCATCAAAAATGATAACTAGATTGGTCATGGTTCTATGAGAGCCATCCTTTTTTGCTCTTGGCCACTTTGAGTTTCATTACAAGTTCTTCACGCTGAGATTCTACCTCTGCATATTTAAGGCTCATGTGGAAGTATCGATCCTGAATATCTCTCAGCTCTTCCTCTAGCATTGATTTTGTACGTTCAAACTTCTCTCTAGTCACTAGTTCTTCTTCACCCATTGATTTTACTGGGCCATTTGCTTGGTTGTATCGGCCTTTAGGTGACGACCTACAGGATTAAAATACAAGAAATTTTATAGCTAGAATTTTCAAAAGCTGATTTCATACTTATATATTTGTTAATTTTGTTTCTTCAAGCCTACAAACCAATAGCAGCAACAAAATAAAGAGGCATGCATAATGTGTTCTTCTGACCTGATAAGTTGAACTTCATATATGTCACTGGGTTCTTTTTCAAGTTCAGTCTCAAGCAATTGAGACTTTGACAATGGTTCTACTACAACCACATCGACACTTCCATCAAGAAGTCTAAGCTCACTTTCCACCTATGAAGATAAAGAAGACATGAAACAAAAACATTTAATTTCCAATGCGATTGCAATTATTTGAAACTATCACTTTGGGTCACACAATTGAAGACACAATATACTGTATAACATTTGACAAGGAGGTAAAATGCAATAAGACAGATTCAAAACATATCACCTCAGTCTGATGTTTGCTGCTGTTATAAAGGTCTTGTTGATCTTTCAGGACTTCTCTGTCATTCTTTAAAGATGGCTTTTTCCTATTACTACGAAGTTGATTGGTATTCTTAACCATCGAATTCTGATCAATCAAAGACATAAAATGATTAGTGTCATCACAATTCACAATGATATCATGTAACTAATGATAAAAAAGCACTAACTTTTGAGGCCTTCTGATCATCGTTAACAGGTTTCCTGTTTAACCTTGAAACTTGATTTCGCTTTTGTTCCTTAGTCAGTTTTAACTCATCTTCCAGGGTCTGAACTTTTCTCTGTAACTCAGTTTTTTCTTGGACATATCTTGTTTCTTTGGCCTTCAAGTCATTCTCAAACTGCACAAGCCTTTCTTCAAGGGATGCTCTAGTTCTCTTGCAGTGCTCCAATTCTGACGCAGTCTTCTCCAAGCTTGATATCTTTCGTTCAAATGATATACTCTCTGCTTTCAAGTCTTCACAAAGTTCAGATTTCAAGCATAATGAGGCTTGTAGTCTCTCTTTCTCAGTATTGGAAGCATTGAGCTCACTCTTGAGAGCCATAATCTCATTTTCAAACTGACGTGTTTCCTGCAACCAAACTTTCAAATTTCTGGATTCATCCATGTGTTGCTGTCTTTCATTTTCAGTGACTATAAGTTTTGATTCAAGGGCATTTATAGTGTTTCTGAATTTCAGTTCTTTTGATTTGTAGTCCTCAACCAGCTTTGACAACTTTTCATGTTCATCCATCAGCGTTTCCATTTTAGTTTTGAAATTGGCAAGCTCAGTTGTTAGGTTTTGCAACTTTTGTTCGTATCGAAACTGCACATTATTAACCTCATCACGCAGTGTGGATACTTCAAGCGAAGCATTGGAAGTTACTCTCTCTTTTTCATCATAGGCTGCTGAAAGTTTCAATCTGAGGTTCTCTATTTCTAGTTTAAGGTTCTGAATTTCCACCACCTTCTCAATTTGCATCTGATTCAATAAGCTTTGACCCTGCTCCATCTGTTTCCTATTTTCATCCAAAACACCATGCAGCTCTGAAGTTAAATCCTTCTCTTTTGATGCAATATCTTCCAACATTAAATAAAATTTATTTTCTAGGAGTCCCACCCTACCACAGCAATCAGAAAATCTTTCACCTGATTCCCTCAACCTATCTCCCAGAAGAGAGCAATACTCCTCTAACTCCAACTTTTGCTGCCTCAAATATCCATTTAGCTTCTCAAATGAATTGGATTCTTCTTCATGATTTTCAATGGTAAGTTGTAACTGCTGATTTTCTTCAATGGAAGAATCCATCTCAGACTGCACCTCCGTAATCTTCTCTTGTAGCTCTGCAGCTTGATTTCTAGCGCTCTCTAATTCTGATAATTGGGAGTCTTGTTCGTTTATCAAGTCACTCACTTGTGCTTCTAAAACAGAAATGCGCATTGACAGTTGTCCATTTTCTTGTTCTATATCTGATCTGTTGAGATTCATTTCATGCGTTCTTTCTTTTATCCTGTCCTCAATGTGTTCCTCTAATTGAAGTTTCTCTTGTTCAAGATGATCCACCTTGGCTTCCATTTCACTCAGGTGCTTCTGAAGAACCCACATCTGATTTTCTTTACTTGATAAGCTAGCCTCAAGGATTTCCATCTCAGATGTTTTATTAGTCAGTTTGTTATTCTGATCTGTGATTCTGACTCCTAGTGTTGATTTGGAAGTCTCAAGCTCTCGAATTGAAATATGACTCTCATTACTAATCTTCTTGGCATTTTCCTCCTGGAACATATCTTCTGAATGGAATATTCGAAATAAATTGTTGCTTACTTCAGAGTCAGAGCTAGAAAATGATTGATCGTGGAGCATGTTTGACAAAAGATCTTTGGATGCACCTCCATCTTTTGAATAGGCCTTTGCTTCTTTTAGCTTGAATAAAAGGTCAAGGTTTTCATTTGTCAGCTCATTACAGTCCATCTCAAGTTCTTGAATTTTCTCTTTCAGTTCTTTGATTTGTTCCAAAATATCTGCATCAGGTACATCTCTGGACACAGTCTTCACATTACAGGTTTCTGGGACAGATTCTAACAGCCTTGCTTTCAAACTTGAAATTTCCTCCTCTTTAGCAGATAACTTGCTTTCATATTCCATTTCAATATCTGAAAGTGCTTTTTTGTTGTGAATCTTTGCTTGTTCAATGTCTTGAGTTTTATCCTCCAACGCCTCTTCCAGTTCTTGCACCTCAGCCATCAGATTTTTCTTTGATTCCTCCAACTGTTTTATTTGTTGCATAAAGATCCTATTTCCTTCTTCACTTAGCTGGAAAGATTTTTCCAGAGTACTGAGTTTTGACGGTAATGATGAAAGGTTTTCTATATCCCGTTTTTGCCGTTCTATGGTTTCTTCCAGCTCCTGGAGAACAGAAACAAGCTCCACATTTGCATCTTGGCTCTTCTTTAGTTGAAAAGACAAGTTGGCATTGGATTCTTTCTGAAACATTAATTCATTTTTTAGAGCATTTTCAATTTCTGGAATGCATTCAATTTGAGATATTGAATCTTCCAAAGTTTTTTGTCTCACTATTGGATCTCCTGATGACAATCTTAACTGCTCAACTTCTTTTTTCAAACTATCACGTTCTACATATGCTGTTGAAAGGTCCGTTTCCAGGCCTGTCATCTTTTCAGATTGACATGAGAATTCTGTTTTCAACATCTCCAAGTCCCCTAATAGCTTTCTTGCGTTCATTTCCCACATCTTTGCTTCTGCCCGTAGCTCTTCATTCGTGTCTTCTGCAACTTCAGGACTGTTGTTAGAACCATGGGTCGTCTTAAAAGATGATGCGCCAATGTCTTGCATATTTTGAGAACTAAATGATGAACGATTCGACTGAGAAGTATTATTTACAGGGTAATCGTAATGGGATACACCTTTCTGGGAACTGGTTGAGTCTTTTCTTCCAGTTGGACTCTGCCCGTCACTGATGCATGGGGAGAAATTTCCCCTTCCTGTGGAATCCTCAGCTGAGTTATAGCTGTAATTTGATACAGAACCAGAAAGACTTGTTGCCTGCAGCCAAGGTACACAGTGTCAGTCTCATTGTCAGAACATCAACTAGAGAAAACAAATATGCAAATGCGACAATAGGCACTATATTTATTTAAACAGTTTAGTAAAGTGCGCCTACATCGGCGACTACAAACCAGCTATAATTTCGTCTTATTTCTTGAATGGATTAGGATTTTAGTGTTACATTATATAAATAGTACTACAATCTATTACAAGAACACGTGTGTCCCTCCCCCTACCCCGACACATTTGATATTTTACAACAATTTTAGTATTTAATGAACATTTTATGATATATCAAATGTCTTATGAAAAATGAAACTAAAAAATAAGTTCAATTCTGATAATTTTAAATTAGATCGAATCCACTAGGATAGAACCACTGAATGATCAAGTAAAGCAATTCAATTAGTTATAGGCAAAGAATTATTATTTACCAACATGTATGCATGGGCAGATATTTAGAACAATATGTGCAATAGAACACTGATGATAGGGAAAATGTTCCAATTTTACCATAGTCTCAACTTCTCCTGGCGATAAGCTAGAATCCACGTCATCAACAGAGGAAGATGTTACACTCTGTACATATGAATAATCAGATCCGTTTGACTTGACAGACAATTCATGACTATTTTCATTCATAACCTTCAAATGAGAATTTTCTTTGCTTGATTCTTGATCCCTGAAAATTTGTGAGGTCAATATTTAATATAGTAGTACTAGTAGACATTATTCATTACAATAATATTAAATACTACCCTTCAATACAAACCTGGGTTTTGTTCTTGGTGTAAGGCACTGCATTGTCACCTGCAAAATGCATAACCACTGAATTTCAAACTTTAAATTCAATGAGATTTTGTAGCATCATAATTCCTACCTAAATACATGTGTTTATCTATCTTTATGAGAGAACCTTATTAAGTGAAATGGAAATGTCACACTAGCATAATTCAATTAAGTAAAGTAAATATGGGAAGAAAACCACTCTATATGTTTTAAGCATCAAATATTTTATTTTTCAATTCAATTTTAGCCAGCAATATATTCGATTTTCCCTCAAATTAACAGAAAACAACTTGAAATCAAATACAAAATGACACAAATAGGAGTCACAAGAGAAATGCCTTTTTACTTTGTGCAGTCAAGTACAAATAAGATATAGTTGAATAGTCTGACTCACATTCAAAACTGTCCCATGGTTGCACTTATTTAGAGGGATTGAAAGTGGAACAGCAGCATCTGAATTCACATGGCTGGTCATACTAATTGTGGCCTCTCCTAGGATGCCAGATCTTAATGATCCCTGTTAAAGGTATTATTTACTTAGTGCTTCAAAAAAACTTAATAATCCAAACAGTAATTTCAAAGTTCAAACTGATAAAGCCAACAGAAAAAGGTGTGCAATACATAACAGTACAATGAGAAGAAATAGTAATAGCAGTACCATTGCAACAATAAGCTTGAAGAGACAATCATCGGTCTCCTTGGACGGCTTTTCTCTAGAAACCCATATAGATTCCGATAAAGTATCAGACCACTGACAACTCCCATTACGCACTGCCACTTTGCTCGTCTTTGCAAGTGTTTTACCATTTTCCACAGATACAACAGAAACAAACAACTTGTCCCACCCCTTTGGTACCTGCTAACATTAGAATTCAATTAGCATTTTCTATTTGCACAACCAGCACTTCTTATTTGAGTTTATCTAGTAACATAATAAGCACTTGTGACACTTTTTGGGAAACCTTATGGAAAGGGAAAGAGTTTGTGATATGTCTCTAAGCTATTTTCACCTTATTTCTATAAGCTCTCCACAATAGCTTATGAAAACAACTTATATAGCTTATATGAAAATAGTCTGACCTTATCTTTATTATAAAAATAGCTTTTGTAAAAGCACTTATAAAAGAAGTGATTATGCTATAACTACTTAATTAAGTTGTTTATCTAAACATGGAGATAATCTTTCACTTAAATCATTTTATGCTTTAGTTCTTTTCTACAATTTTTAGTTCTTATGATTGACACCGCTAAAAATATGTGTGTCAGTGTCAGTATCAATATCCGAAATTGACATTGACATTTGTGATTATGTTTAATTTATTCACTTTTCAAGTTATTACCGTTATCGACGTGTCAGTGTCGGTTTCGTATTTCTTATGTCAACTTAGCATTGTTCTGCATTCCATCAAAACAGAAACCTCAATGCTAACGAACCTATTTATAGCACAACGCCATGATTTAACCTTCAATTTCATAAAAGTTTAATTTAAAACTCAATGTAAACCGCAATTCTCTCTAATTTCCAAATTATCATTGCGTTTCACATATCATAATTCATAACTGTCTCTCTTATTTCCAAATTAGAATCTAATATGTTCGTCACCATAAACAATTCTAATTAAGCAAAGCATAAATTAGAAATTAAACTAGTAACATTAAACTGAAACGACGAAGAACAAGAAGAAATCAAAATCGATAAACGGTGAAAGAATAAGCAACCTGAAGCGCCTTTAGATTCGAAATTCTGAACTCAATTCTATCACCTAATTTCCCATTCCTATGCTTATGAAGCTTAAACATTCTCTTTATTTCTAGAAACTTCTTCTTCTTCTTCACAATTCACAGTTCACAATCACGTTCTTCGCGCTGGTTCTTTCCGAATCACGTTCACGATTATAATCATGTTGTCCGTAACCACCATCACCAACTGTTTGAAGAAAAAGGGCGTTAGCTAAGTAGTCATTGTAACGAAGGGTGTTATTTTATTGTTACTTCAAACCATAGCGGGAGACAAAAATTAACAACCCGAATTAAAGGAACCACAATTCTATATTTTCTTTTTATTTTTGTATTTATTTACATTAAATTTACAAAATTTAATTTTTCGTCCGCGAATACTATACATACGCAACCATAATAACAATGGAGTGTTTCCGTTCAGTGGAGGAGTGAAAACTGAAAAAACAGCTATAAGTTATAACTCTTCTTTTTATTTTATTTTTTTTATAAACCGGATATTCTCGATACGCAATTATGTAATTATAGAAATTAATCTTTTAAACCGAGAAAATTAAGACTATAAACATCAAAACTTTTTTCTAAAAATGTTAGTAACTTATATTTAGGACTGAATTCGAATCAACTGTTTTATTTATTTTTAAATGGAAAATTCTTATATGCAGACGTGTCAATTGGTGTTCGTTAAGAATGTGAAAATGGTTACTTTTAGGATGGGAGTGGTTGTAGGTTATTACTGACCGCAACCACCAACGCAAAAGCATTAGAGAACAAAAATGAACAGGCTGTTTTGTTTGTGAATAATTGTGAGGGTAAGATAATTTTATAAGTTTTAAGTTAGAACAAGAATGTTGTGTATATTTGGATATTTGATATAAAAATGGGATATTCTAAACTACAATAATTGATTGTGAAAGAGACTTTGCATTGTCAATATCGCTATTTCTTGTGTGGTATATTCAATTGGGAACTTTTCTTTTTTTAGAAAAAAAACCTAATGAGCATAATTGTATGACCATGTATAGCATTTTTTTTAAATTGTATGTTATTTTTATAAAATTCCATTATATGTAGTTCTTACTATTTTCAAATAATAATATGACAAGTGTATAATTTCTTATTATATATATATATATATATATATATATATATATATATATATATATATATATATATATATATATATATATATATATATATATATATATATATATATATATATATATATATATATATATATATATATATATATATATATATATATATATATATATATATATATATATATAATTTTTTTCTATTCGTTCTATATTTAAATATATTTACCATATTTTTATTGAAAAATAATAAAAGTCACGCCTAAGAGATTGTATCTAAATTTTTTTTATAAATTTTTTTTTTGCTGAAAAGTAGTTTTGGTTTCCATATATTCATTTTGATAATATTTTAATACCCATTAAAAAAAACCAATTTTTTGATAAGCTAGTATTAGATTTTATTTTATTTATTGTCCTCCTTCACATTTCAGACTCATTTGCAGAGGTGGCATTAGAAATATGAGTATGTATCTTTTTAATGTTACCACGTCATTAAAATTGAACAAAATTATTTATTTTAAAATTAAAAATTAATATTTATAAATTAAATCAGAATGTATAATTGATCTTCTTCATTTGCAACCATTTTCACCCCCTTTTTTGAAATCCTAACAATAATTTATTTGATTCCTCTAAAATTGTTTGTGTTTTCAATCAATTTAAACTAAACAATTTCTATTCATCATGTTCCAATGCTCCAAATCAAGTTATTAGAAGTCTTCGCATTCATTTTGGGACGAATGAAAATGTGGTCTGGAATCTCTATTGATGACATCTTGGACATATTCGAACTTAGGTTATCGTTTTTATGATTACGGGGTGTTTAAGGTAAGCTTTGTCTATTTTTGTCCATTTTTTATGTGTAATATCTGTTTCTTCAAACCCCTCAATTTATTTTGTAAATTCAGTTGCATGGTTATAAGAGGTGTAACCATTTTGTTGGTATGATAAGGAAATGTCTCCAAAAGTCAAGGATGTAATCTCTTCTCTACACCAGAATCTGACTGAATAAAAGTGAAATTCAATTAAGCCAAGAAAAAGGAAGAGGAAATTAAGTTTATGGAGATGATGTTGAAATTTAGTGTGGCCATTATTTTTGTATTACTAATTGGTTTAGTTATGTTTTATGTAATGAAGTAGGTCATTGTATTATGATAGTTTGTAAATTTCTTTATAATGTTTACTTATTTAGTAGAAGTTCTATATAATGAAATTCAACATTAAGAATGTTTGTATAATGTGTAATGACATTTAAATGAAATGCGAAATTCTGGTTGTTGTAACAATGACTTTTAATGTGTAATGCCATTGGCTTTTGTTTATGATAATTTCCATTACACTTTGTATTTCATCTCAGTTTGAAACCATTAGAATTTTATAACCATACACAAGTAATTTCAAAATAGCATTGCATTAACATAAGAACTTGTTCAATATAATACTTGGTCATTAAAAACTGTAGCATGACAGTAGTTGGTCATTACAAGCTGCACCGCAGACATTACAAAATAAACTTAGGCATGACACAAAGTGTTTCATGATAGACACTACAAACATTACAAAAAGTTACTTAGGCCTGACACAAAGTATTTCAAGACAGTCATTAAAAACATTACAAAAAGTACTTTAACATGCTAAATCTATTCTTAAGTTTAGTCTATGTGTTAGTCTTCTTGGTCTTTTCCCTATAATAGTTGGTCTTTATTTTAGACTTCTTGGTCTGGTTTCCACCTTTTGGTAATATCCCTATCAACATCTATTATCCTTGTGAAAATGCACTCATAAAATAGGACAACAGACTTGTCAAAAGAGTTGCATACCCTCTTTTCCAGAACCACCAAAAGAACCAACCAATCTTGATGGTCGCTGAACACGATGCTAACAACATCTATTGATGCTTCAGTATTCATAATAGATGGGGTGTCCACCACCTCAACATCCACCCAACCATAATTCATTGCATTGATCATCTGCACTAATGTCACGTAGAACCTTAATATGATATTCTCTTTCACCATCATCTGATAAAAGGGTTTTTAAGGAGTTAAATGAAGAAGCTTCTTCATCAAGGGAGTTTTTAGATTCCCTTTTGTTGCACCCAAAACTTTGCCCTCTTTTTTCTTATCCTAGTTGACTTTTGCTTCTCATTCATATGCATCTTCATTATGTCATGATATCCCAATCATGCATCGCATTGAGTTCTCAAGACATGAGATCATAGCTTATTTCTTGCGGTTCAGAGTTTTCTTTATTTCAAAGAGTGTTTCAGTAGCATTCAGAACTAAACTCACAGTCATCAGAGGCTTGAAGCATTTATTTTTCTCAACAAATGCTTTGATTACTTTAGAATTAAGAACAGAGAGCACGAAGTTCATATGATTTATTCCAGACAAGTTATCTATCATATTCTAATCATCATTCAAGTGTCATACCAAAGGTTGAGGTTCAGACGCAGAGCCATGCTCAGAACATGTTGCAACAGGGAAATTTCCTCTTTTTTGCACTGATGTAACCGGTTACCCAAAATCCTATAACCGGTTACACCCTTCATAAATGGCGCCAAAATTCAAATTCTCAAGCATGTAACCGGTTACCCTGTTTTATGTAACCGTTTACATGAAGTGAATTTGGCCAAAAATAACAGGTTTTCAGCACTGTAGCAGTTTGTAACTCATTTCAATTGCTTGGTTCAATTCTACACCTGTGGAAGGATTTAGATGATGCAAAATATCAGTATATTTTCAAGTTAATTTCATCTCCCTCCTTAATTCAAATGATTTTCACTCCTAATTCCAAGCAAAAAATAATCCTCACTCAAAACCAATTTCCAAACATCACTCTCATTCCATACCTAGACCATATTTGAACCAATTTCTCCCAACCCTAATCACTCTCCACTCATTTTTCTGATTTCTCCACACTCCACACTCCAATTCTCTCTCAAATTCTCTCTCACTTTTTCAATCTCCATTTTCATTTCCAAAGCTTAGCCTCACAAAATCTCTTTCATTAGAATTACCAAGTTCTTGTTGATGCATGATTATTATTTTTCTTTCTATTTTGATTGCATGATGTAATCCTGCTTGGCTCCACCGATGTTGTGTTTACATGAGTTGTTATATGATATCCTCTTCCAAGAATACATTGTTGTCCTGAATCTGATGTGTTGTTAATTATTGTTTCTGCTTGTTCTGAATTTACTATTGTTTATAAGTTTATGCGCGGTCTCTAAGAAGGGTGTAAATTAGATTTATTGGACTTTTCTCAATTTGAAGCGTTACCACTAGTTTTGTTATTTTTCACAAATGATATGATAATAAATATCCTGAAAATTAAATGCAGCAAGTAAAGGACACAATGATATATCCTGGTTCCCCTCACAATCCGAGAGTACTCTAGTCCCCTCACTCCCCGTGAGAGATTTCCACTACGTCAGATCTTTGTACAAGTCTTCCACCAAGATCTATCCTACAAACTTCTAGTATAAGTAACATAATCAATAAGTATTATTCCCTTATGATCTTTACAAAGTACAACAAGAGAATAATCCTCCCTTATTGACTCTCTTGCTTCCAACAATCCTGGGCAGCAAGAAAATTACAACAATCTGAATTTTTACAAGTATTTGAATTTGTATAACAATGTATATCAATTCTTAGAATTGATCTTCTCTATCAAGTGGGCAATTCTTAATATGTAGTACAAGTGCTTAATGATTTATGTAGTTGAAACTATTTGAGAATATAATGAACTTGATGTGCAAAAGTTTCAACAAAAAGTCATGCCAAGAACACTTGATTTTGAAAATAAGAGAATATAAGTTTTGAATTGCTATAAAAGAGAGATGAGTTTGAATTCTAAAAAGTGTGGTTTATATAATGCCTTAACACCTCTCTAAAATTGTACAAATACATGAATAGTTGACATGATTCAAATATGCATTAAAAAAATCATTTGGATTAGAAT